CATGCTGATCATCCCACTGACATACATGCAAGTTTTTTCCTCCCTCTTTTGGATTTCTGTTGTTCTAATATGGTGTTGCTGAAGCTCCAGGAGAAGTCTTGCATGATCTCTACTTTGTGCATAATGTACTCTCCAGCCTTTGTGAAAATGTTATTTGGGGTAATCCTTCGAGGAAAAAGTTCCCCTTTCAAGTACAGGACTTTGGTCTTCTAGCACAAACATTGAGCAAATGGGCTTCTCATAACTTTAATTTTACATCAGATGGTATTCTGATTGATACAGAAATTAAAAATGACTGAGGAGGGAGAGCATTTACAGACTGCACAGGGAACCATTAACCAGGAGTATGTTAAGCATGGATAGTGAGCTGTGTGGTGTTCAAAGACAGACCAAGTGAAAGGGAACACAAGCCTCAGGAGTTCACATCAGGCTGAACAGCAACAACTGAGTCCAACAAACAGACACGCTTGGATTTCCTGAGGGCAGACTGTCCTGTTTAGGAGACTGGTTGACAGAGTCCCTTGGGAGGCAGTCCTGAAGGGAAAAGGAGTCCAGGAAGGCTGGACATACTTTAGGAAGGACATCTGCACAGGAGCAGGCTGTCCCCATGTATCAGAAGAGGAGTCAGTGAGGAAGAAGACCAGCCCAGCTGAACAGAGAGATTTGGCTGTAACTCAGGTTAAAAAGGAGAATTTATGACCTTCGGAAGAAGGGGCAAGCAACTCAGTGGTGGACTTGGCAATGCTGGGTTAACTGTTGGACTTGGTGATCTTAGAGGTCCATCTGAAAAGATTCTATGATTCTAAGCTTGCTGGTGTCCTGAGAGTTGTTACTGACTACAGCCAGGCTCCATCTTGATCCCACTGGAAATCCCTAACAAAATTCCTATTTATTTCCATTGCTGAACAATCCTGGGAATAATAGAAATATCTATATGCAAGGAAAATGTGTGTGTGTTTGTGATTCTCCTCTGGGTTCTATTTTCTGTAGAATCAAAGTCCCAGTTCCCATTTCATGATGAATCTAAGTCTTCAGTTCAGCTTCACTTCTGTTAGCACCACAGAGAAATCTCTGACAAGACAGATGTCTGCAGCCACCAGAAGCCTTAAATTGAACACCTAAAAATAGAAAGCTGCAGAATTTATAAATATTTTTGCAAATCAACCTTTTATAACTACCCTCCTTTTGTAGCAGTGGTAGTTAGCATTGAAATCCAAGTATATTTCAGCAAAAGAGAAAGCTGACCAAGCAGCCCAAGAAATTCTGCAGAGTTCTGCAAAATGCAGGAGGCCCAGGGAAGGAAATTACTGCATGCCAAATTTTCCCACTGATTTCTATTGTCTCTACTTATCATATGTAACACTGGGAATTCATTGTGGAGCACTGTATCTTCCCCCAATTCTTACCTAGCTAATAGCCTGATTATGTTTTATGACTTTGTATTCTCATTCAACATAATTTACTCTTCAGTTAGAAAATAAGACTGTCCCCAGAGACACAGCCAGCCCTTTGTTCTCTTTGTTCACAAATTAGTTTGGAGAAGGATCGACCGGTAGTGTAGAAAGCCTGTATTGGATCTGCTAAGATCTCTTCCTATTCAGATTTGCTTTCTGTGGCTGGAGGCTACTCTTGATAGTTATTTGGAATGAAATATTGTTCATCCCCTTAACAAAGAGATAGTTGGTTCCATTCAGTACTTCCATGAACCTCAGACAGTGTTTATATAGCACGTATTCAAAACACGCCAGCTATTTCTTACCATCGTATAGTTTCTCTGACCGTGGGCTGGGCTTCTCTTTTGTCAGAGGGCTTCTGTTTACCTGGCATCTTTTTTGGTTCTTTGGTATCTTTCTCTGTGCAATCACTTCCTAAACTGTCTGAGAAAATATGATTATGAAGAGGAAGAACTGCAGAATTCCCCTGAAATAAGTTCCTTCAGCTTTTCTTCCAAAGACTTGCTCCTCTCTCCCCCTATCTCACACCTGAGGTTGGATACTCCCTTCTCCATTTCCCTGACTCCAGCATGTGGATATTGCTGTGGAGCCCAGGAGCAGGTCACTGTGAATGATTTCCATTTATATCTCATGTCTCAGTAAACTTCCTCCTGAGGACTTCTCTCTTGTGCATCCCCACAACCTGTTTCTTTCTGGTTTCACATTGCTACTGGATTGACCTGTGTCAGATGAGAAAAAGTCAGGAGACTCTTTTAAATAGAAAGTTACTCAGCCTGACATCTTTACTGTTGAGTATACCTCTCAGAGTTGATCTCTACTACCAAGACTTTGCCAGGAAAGTCAAACCAGTAAAGGCTTCTTGAGAAGGATTGAGTTCTTCATATAAAAACTGTCTGTATTGCTAACCAGGCTTCCCTAATTATATAAGCCATCCTGCAGAAGATTTCTTTTGCTGCTGTAAATTGTGCCAGCCCAGGTGACTTCCTTTCTAAGCTATTTTGGCAAAATGCTGCCTATGCAAGCATTGTAGGCTAAACAGATCCCTTATGGTGGATTTTTTTGGACCAGGTGAATTCTTTCTATTGCCCTGCTGTGAATATCTATGAAAATCCAACTTGGGTCAAACCAAAGCCTTTGGTTTAGCTGCAGTAGTGGGAACATGGGAGGAGGAAGGCAAGAGGCCCCTCTATTGAACTTAAATCTTAGGCCCTGCAGCTAAAAAAGCCCCCAACAGATCTCAGTATGCCCAATCCAGCAAAGTAGCTCACACAGATAGATAGATAGATAGATAGATAGATAGATAGATAGATAGATAGATAGATAGATAGATAGATAGATAGATAGATAGATAGATAGATAAACTATCACCAGAGGATGTGAGCATTGACAGTATGTATCCTTCCTCTTCTGTGTGTTGAAGTCATCATGGACAGGACATACTGGGCATTTTCTTATGCTTCTGCAGCCCTTTGAAAATGCTGGGCCAGATGCAAAACTCCTTTAGATTAATGCCAGTGCATCTCTTTACACCAGCTGACAGCCTTGCCCACAGTTCACTAAATGCTATTTATTATTTTATTTTGTTTGCTAGAGTGACAATGGAAATGACATTGATACACAGGTCAATTTAATCCTGCTGACATAGCCTCGAGGAGTTTTTTGTTTATTTTTTATTTTTGCTCTTTCCCAAGAGAATCTCCCTTACAGTTTTATATTTGCTAAGGTTTATTAAATAAGATCAGCATATTAGCAGTCTCATAAGCTTGTTATTTTATGTATCTCTTTATTTCTTTAGCTTTATTAATCGTTATGGTACTTGAAGTTGCTAGCATGAAAAATGCACTGTAAGAATAAATAACCATTATTATCAAAGTGCTTTCATAAAATGATCTGTAGGATTAAATCCTTATTAGAGCAGCATTATTGGTCATGATTATCATTATTATTACATATTAATTAGTAGTACCAAGATAGTGCAGCTTTCAGAGTGATCTTTACCAAAGTCAGTTAAATATGAAGGTTTCAAATTTCAATAGATTTAGTGGTTTAGGACATGGTAGTGGGATTATAGTTAATATTATTTATTCAGTTCAGTACTTGAAAAGAGCTGATGATGTGCTCAATGCTTGCGCAGCAGAATTTGCTGCCTGAAACACATGCTCTAAGAAAGGGAAAGGAAATAGTTGCACTAGAGTAGGGCTTTTTTTTCTGAATTCTGAAATCCAGGAGTTCAGTGTTGTTTATGGCTCTGCCACTTCCTGCAGCTATTTAATTTTGTGCTTTGTCATTTATTTAATATTTCTCTGACTCAGTGTATTGATGTGCATAAAGTATGTTCCATTAATTAATCTGTGTAAAGCATTTTGAATTATAGCTACCGCGTAAGAATGGAGCAATTTTTCCCATACCTGAAGAGAAGCTGTAGTTGACACAGATTGCCATGTTATGTGTGTACTTTTCATAGATGTGGTGCCTGTTTGGTTAATGTAACTGTGAGGTGACATGATGGGCAGATTGTGTACAGCACACTTCTCTCTTTTTCTTTTATCTGAAATGATACTATTACTCCTTCCCTTTGATGCAGTAACCTAGTCAAGCTTCAAGAGACATAGGATAAGAAAAGACTGACAAATAAAATATTATTATGGCAGGTGTCACGAGATGGTACTGTTATATAAAGTCTCCCAAGTTCTTTTTTTTTCCCACCTTATTATGTGAGCAAACGTTCAGTCTTTGGAAGACACACTGTGTTCGTAAATTTTCTTTTGCAAGGTCCTGGATAGAGAAAGTCAAATAAATAATTTGTTTTGTTGCCTCAGCCTCTGGATGGAGTTGTTCTGGAAACAGTTACTCTCCAATAGACAGGCATTAGTACTTGGCTAAATGCCTGAACAAAGCCATTGCCCTGCTGTTGCCATCTCTCTTCCAGGTCTAATTTTGCTTGTTGCCTTCCCTCTTTATGCCATGCCTCATATGTAGCATCCCAGGATTTTCAGAGGAAAGACTCTGTGTGAGATACAGAAATCCAACTTAGGCACAGACTCTGCCTGCAAAGCAGGACCAGGTGAGGAACTTAACAATGACAGTCCCAGAAGACAGCATACTGAAGGGGAGATGGTGAGTGAGGCAGGAGGATATGCCTCAGAGAAGGACAGCCTTTCACTCTGGCCTCTGAGTGCATAGGTGTCCCCTGCTACTCTGAAATTGGTCCTAAATATTGATATGCAAAAAGAGCTGACCCTTTCCTACGAAAACAGAGTGAGGGAGAGACCATTTCTTTTTTCGTCTGTTAATTGGGCCTCTTCTAGGAAATTGGAAGCTAAATGTCCCTCTGCCAAATCTGGCATATAGAGCTAAATTTAGGTCTCTCATGTCTCAGAAGGGGCTCTGCCCATCAGGCTTTTTGAGTGCTGTGGGCTCTCTCAGCCTCTTCCACTGGCACTGCTCCAGTTTTACACAGTGAAACACTGGCAGTTGAAAGAATTGCTTGATGAGATGTCCTAACTTTGTAACCTGCCATGTGAGTGATGTAACCTTGTTTTACAGGATCTTCCTGTCATAACCTTTCTGAATTGAGAAGAGCCAGACACTCTGAAGAGATGAAAGAGATCTGGGTTGAGGTCCCCATCCAGGTGAGGCAGAGTGGGGTTTAAAATGCAGATCACCCAAGTCACAGGCACATCCCCTATCTCCTAGAACGTGGGGTTTAGTACATGTTTTAAAGATATCTACTCAACTGGTCCCTGCTGGTTAGTAAATGGTCTCCTGTGCTGAGTAACCTGGTCTAGATTCTTGCCATTAGTGTGCCACGGGGGGCTTAACATATTATGGACATAATGGCTCTTCCTTTAAAAGCACCAAACCCTTCTTGCACTCAGTGTCATTTTGGGGTATGCAAGGAATGCACGAGCAGGCTGCTGAGAGCAGCAGCTAGTCATTTGAGCAGTCTGAACTTTTTGCTTGGCTGCTCTATTTAAAATGGGTACCAGTGGAGCAATAGATTGGCATCTGATGTTAGTTAGAAAAAAAACCCTACACACTTAAGTGAAACAGTAGCAAAGTGATTTTTTTCTGTAAATCTCTGGAATTAATAACTACAGCTATTTGAGAAGAGAAACAGTATCATTCATACTGAAAAATATTCTATTCCCTCCCACAGGGGAAGCCTGTGTAGGTGTGGAGCTGTAGTCTGGGAAATTAAAAAATGCAAATTAAAAAATGCAAATGTAAGAGAGAGGCATTGCTTGCTGCAGCGCTCTAAGGGTTTTCTTGAATAGCAGCAAATTAAAGAAATGCTATGTAATCAAAGTTTATATCAAGCCTATGAAAGAAAAGCAGCATTATTTCTAAATATAGTGATAGGACTCTCTGCTCCTGATCCTTTACATTGTGTACATATTACCAGTAAATTACAAAGATACTGTATTATGTGTTTCAACAAGTCCTTGAAGAAAATGCACATTACCCTTTTATGTGCCACTTTATTCTGTTGTATTAAAACATGATGATTAGGAAGGAAAAGGTAGTTGGGCTACTTGTTTTTTCAGCTGGGTTCATTCAGGTTTTTTCACTCCATTTCCCTTTGCTGTCAGTACCAACAAGGGCTTCCCAACCGCAGCTCTTCGCTGCCGATGGTAATACAGGTCAATCACATAAGTGGCATTGATTGTGTGGAAGTTTAGATAGTAGATCTGTTCTGCCTTCTACATCCTCTCTCAATTTATCCCTGCATAACCCTGTCCTCCTGCTTTTCTCAGTTCGACATCAACTTCATTTGTGGTCTGTTTGCAACATTTCCCACAAAAGGCCAACACAGCCCATCTAGGGAAAATAAATGTACGTGCAAATACTATTTGTTCACTGTTTCAAGGTAAGCACAGTGCAGTGAGGAGGAATCCAAGCCACATGGCTACTTAGGAACTTCCCAGCATAAGGGTAGATAAGGGCAATATCCAAATGGATTAACAGCACCGAGAGTGGGCAACGTGGCTGAGGAAGAGAGAATCAGGCAAATGGTGCATCCTAGCAACACCCAGGTAACCTGTGGTCTCCAAGGCAATATGTAACTGGTTTTGAGAGGGATGAGATCGTTGCCAACTAAAATGAAAAATAAGCTGTGATGGAAACTCATATTTATTTGACTGGTAATTACAATCACTTCCACCAGCAGAACTCGGGCACGACTAAGAACAGAGGCGCAGCCATGAACCACAAAGCTGGGAGTCTCACCAAAGGTAAGGAAATTAGGTTTTGATTCTTCTGTTTTAAAGAACTTGTATTCCTTTGTGATGTGATGATTTCACAAGTTTCGCTATTTTTTTGTGGTTCTTGGTCATTCCTCTTTGGCAGAAAACTCACTGGGACCAGAGGTTTGTCCATGACTATCTCTGGGCCCCTGCAGAGACTGGGTGGGAAGTAAAATAGAAATGGAAGTTTCGTGGAGTCTTCTTTCCTCAAATGTTGCAGGGGCAACTTGCAACCACAGCGAGGTGCAGAGCCTAGAAGTTGTGGAAAGTAGAGCAGATTTGTATAAAAGCAAAACAGGCCTTACACAAATGCTTGTGTCCAGAGAATTCAGATTCTTTTGGCTGAAAATATGCCTGCAGCCTGAGCTGCACACAGAATGCAGCTCTGTGGATTTGGCAGATTGAGGAAATGAAGACTTCAGCAGAATCTCTAGGTACTTGAAAAAACTAGGCCAAGCACACCCAGGTAGATAGCCACTGAATAAAATATTTTTTAGATCCTGATTTTAATTAAAATAAGGCATAACTACCCCATTGTGACACTGCTACAGTTTACAAGTCTTTCTTCATTTATTTAATCAATCAAAGTAGATAAATCAGCAAATAGTGCTTGCAAAGTCTCCTAGATTAAGAGATGAAACTCAGATAACCTCCACCAAATATGTTAATAAAACCAGAATTAGCAAAATCCTCCAAATAACTCTATGGATGAAAAATACTAAAGGGATTTGAAAACAGCTCTTAACAACAGTTGTAAATAGCATATTTTTTAAATTAATACTGTAATATAGGAAATGCTACCTACTGTTCTTTCTCGTTAGGTGTGGATATTTGAATAAAATTAGGCCTGGGTTGAGATATCCTGCAGTAGAAAAAAATGTGGCATTTTCAGCAGCTGTTATCACCATGGTGTGGTGAGGTGAGCAAAGATTCCTCCGGGGCATCTTCTTGAGCTACTTCATATATTTCAATGACTTTTCCTTTCTCTTGGGCTGTCAGAGGGAAGAAAAACAGAACTGCATTGGGGGTGCAAAACACTCACTGGTAGGACTATGAAAGTCACTTATGATGTGACCTTCACTACCTCAGTGGTGAAAAGATGAACTTCTCCAATCCCAAATGATTACTTCAACGGAGTCACCATCACTGTTTCTTTACTCACATATTGTATCTTAACAGGCTTTTGTAACTAGTCTAGCTCTGATTCCAAAGTGACAGTTTATTAGAAAAGAACTTAAGTGTTTCCATGATTAGCATTCTAAATACTTCATGGTACGACATATGAAAGGTAGGTCTACCTCTCCTTTGACATTTTAATCCTAAATTGAGGTGGCCACTTAGATTTTACAGTCATCAGTGTGTCTCTGTGGTGTGCATTTAGCAGCTTTGAAACTCTTCCAAATTGTCTGGCTTTAGCTGCTGAGAAGAATCCATTACTCTCAAATTCAAATACCATCATAAAATCTGCTGTAACACCAGGGGTCCTCAAAAGGTCTTTGTCCAATTCACCTAACATTATCAAAGTGCTTGTAACTGGACATTTATGTTACATTCCTAACTTAGTCTATTTTTAATGTAATGGGCTTTGGGAAAAGATGGTGAATTTCTCAAGGTCTTAAAAGAAACTAATATATCTTTTCTATTGGGTCTTCTGTTATTTACTCTCATCTCTTGCTCCTGACAGCTAGAGTCAAATTCTGCTAACAGTAGTTACTGGTTTTATGGGTGTATTAGGTGTTCTGCAGCCTCTAAAACAGCCAAAGAAGTTACCGAAGTCATTACCATTTCTATGGCAAAACAAGTCGAGGTGTCAGGCTTGTCATTTTCAAACAAACTAAATCATACCTTCCTGCCCTGACATCACTGGAATTACCCATCTGTTTCCTGTATTTTAGTGCCTTGTTGATTTGAGGAGTGCCTCACTCACGTTTCTAACTAAAAGTGATGTGCTGAAGCACATCAGCAGGCATTGAAGCAAGCTTGCAGCACCTATTCAGTGAAAGGATTGAAGGACTTTTGCCTCTAAAGCTATTAATCTTGTAACTTCCAAGCAGAGAAATCAATGACGTTTTGGAAAGTCAAATTGTTCATAAAGGAACTGTGGGTGGTGTCAGTGAAGAAAAAAAACATAGTTACTGGAAAATACAGACAAATGTTTGTATTTATTTGATATTGGGTGGTGTGTATGAGAAATGTAGCAAATACCTGTAGCAAGAAACAAACAAGGAAATTTTTGTAAAAGCCTTGTTGACGGAGGAAAGGGGAAAACAGATCTAAAACCTGAAGAAGCCAGGCTGTAAGAAGTAATAATCAAATGCACATAGTAACTAGAGCTGGAGTACAGTGCGTAACCTTTTCCTTCAAATGTGGATTGAAATCTTTCCAAATATCAATTAATCCCTAATCTACCATGCATTTCCTAGTTGCTTCCTGTGCATTATTAATGGACTGGTCACCCTGAGATGAAGGTAGGAAGTAAAAGCAATTAAATTCCTCTCCCACCCCTGCAGATACAATTGACCTAGAGGATTCAGCTACAAGTGAAAATGAAAAAGCTCCAAAAAAGAATAAACATGCCCTTCTTGCCTGAGCCAAATTGTGTAGTTTAAAAAGCCACATGCAAAAGCAACAGCAAGCTCTCTTTATATAAAACATCAAATTCTAAGATTCAGGGCTAATCAAGGAAAAAAGCAAGTGCCCAGTCTCTGCTGATTTTTGCTGGTGTTGTTTGTAACTGAATGAATACTTTGAGCCAGAACTCCAGACACTGATTCTTTTTTCAGTGTAGAAAAGAAAACCCCATCTGTCTCCTGAGAGGTATTGATCCCATTTGAATTTGAAGAAACAATTTTAACTTCATGTTTTTGTGGAGGGTGATGGCCACAGAATTCAGGAAGGCTTCTGACTGTATAATATGGTTAACTCTGGCCTGAGAGGGATACAGTCATCCTAGCCTGCAATTATCATACAGATCAGTCAGCAAGGATAACAAGGAGAGCTCTGTGGCTGTTGTTTGCACTGTAACGTTAAAGACTCGTGTTTGTTTCCACAGTGTTGTAACGCCGAGGTGAAAGTCTATCCCTTTTGCCCTGTTTTCAGCATCATTGGAGATAAATACCAGGCTAAAATAGGCATATTCCCAAATCACCCCGATTGTCCATCTGTTTAGAAAAAGTCTCCTACCTTAACAAAGATTATGTTACCAAACTCAGGGTGTATAAAGAACTAGCTGGAAGAGAAGAAGGAGGAAAATACTGACAGTGCCTACACAGGGAAGAAAGAGGAAGGAGTGTCATATGGTTTTGTTCATGCAGAGGGTCCTTTCTGAATGTATGTGAGTGAGGTCCTTGGTTATACCCATCTTGTATGTGACTGGAAGTATTTTCTCACAGTTTTTTTCTCTGTATTTCTTTCTTGGTCTTGTAGGACCACAACATCTTTGAGATATTGCTCAGTTGAGTGACAGGGAGAAGTGAGGGAAGGAAGAAGGAATTATTAAAAATGTGAGCTAGACCTCCTTTTGAGCTCGAGACATTTGGGCTTTCTTATGATAAGAAATCTCAGAAGGGTGGCAAGAGGAATGCAAACAGTTAGAAACAGAACCAGTGGCCCTGTAGACAAATGGATCATAGGTTTTCTTGAACCCTTATTTTGCTGGTGACAATAAAGGTTTTGACAGCAATACATGGTTCTCTGAATCTGTGCTGATCTCAGGTGAGTCCAGTCCACAGGCAGTGCTGGCTCTTCTGAGTGACTCTTTGGTTTGGTTTAGAAATGAGCACCTGGGTTTGCACAGGAGCCCAAGGTGTGCAAGAATCCTTTTCTTTGCACTCAAATGTGATCGTTGTGGGAGGGATAAGTCTAGAAGCTTCACACTTAGGAACAGCAAGGTTTCAGGGTCATGGGACTGATGTGGAAATTGTCACAGGAGGGAAGAGGAAACTGAAGTCCAAAGGAAAATCACAGAGGAGAAGAGCTGGGGGTAAAGTGAAGGAATAAAGTTCTGGGAAAGCAGCCATCCTAGGGCTTTGTTGAGCTACTGGCTTTCCACATGGTCATATTTATTTCCTCTGTAACATTGCATGTATTTTTTCAGAATAATTTATGATAAAAAGGGCAAGTTTTTTTGAACATATTAGTTTTTTGCATAAAGCCATCAACTACTTCAAAGGACTTCATTATCTCTTTGGGGATAGTCAGTAGATGTTGCCATTAAGATACACAGCAAGTGAATCAAATTTGGCTCTCCTTGCCATGCAATCCTGTTGCAGTCAGGAGAATTCCAGCAATAGAAACCAGGGCTAACTCCTGCTAAAAGGGTGAGTTGGGCTCACAGTGGGGCACAGATGAGGATGACTGGAATGGAAAACAGGAGGTGTTCCTTTTGCATTGTAAGGAAGAATGGCTTTAGAAACAGAGAGTCAGAAAGATGGGCTAATATTAGCTAAGACTGAAGTGACCATAAAACCACAGGCAGGATGCACATTGGTATTGTCATAAAATACTCAAACAAAATTATATCAAGTATTAAAAACTGTGGTTACATGCCAGCAAGACTAAAGCAAGAACTGAGTAAAGTGACAGAAATGAGCTTTGGTTGATTCTGCGCCTTTTAATGAGACCATTGTGCCCATTCTTCATAACAATATAAATTAAGGAGAGACTGTCCACTTTGATATTGAATTTCCATGTTTGTCAAACTGAGTTTCTAAAGTGATTTTTTGCCTCTTTTTCTTTTCAATAGACAAAAAAATGTGGAGATATTATATTCTGATCACTTGTCAAAATTCCTTTTTTAAAATCAAAGCTGCTTAATGTTCAAGAACCCTTTTTATGCATATAAATTACTATTTTTTACTCTTCTATGATTTAAAACCGATTTTATTAATATTAGCAAAAATGTCCTTGCAGACAGACTGAACTCTTGTGCCTTAACTCAAATCACAGCTAATTATGGCTCAGCTGTAAAGTTATAAACCCTTGAAAAACAAGGTTTAT